TTTTTTTTTTTTTTTTTTTTTTTTTTTTTTTTTTTTTTTTTTTTTTTTTTTTTTTTTTTTTTTTTTTTTTTTTGGTTTCCTTTGTTTTCTTTTTTTATTCTACTTTAGATCTGCAAGCTTGTGCACTGTGGGTGCGTGACTATTTTAGTGTGAACCGTGTTTTTTGTCATAGTATTGAAATAATAAAAGCTTCAACATAGTTTGGATGTGGAAGGTGTAGCGCTAGTTCAGATTTGAAGAGAAAAAAAAGAATATTCAGGAATTAAACAAACAAAATGAAGAGAGAACAACTCTTACAAAGAACAGAAGCCTTTAAATGAGAAAACCAACCCGAGCTGAGTCTGGTTCTGTGGTGAGGAACAGGAGGATGAGGGGGGTTTGGAGGCCACAGTTGGCTCAGGTCAGTGGAGCCACTTCCATGCGTGTGTCCTTGGGAGGAGTGCAGTCTGTTCCAGCAGCATCACATCACTTCCAACTGTGGGAAATAATGGTCTTGTCATTTGCTAAGTGTGGGGTTTTTTGCATTCTTTCCTCAGCTCCTTGGGGTGCCCGTGGGGGATGGCTGGAGGTGCAGGCCTAGACACTCATGCAGGAGCCATCCCGGTGGGATGTGGGGGCAGGACAGCCCCGTGTCACATCCCACCCTTGCATGACCCATCACAGCAGTGTCGGTGGAACTGGGGGGGAAGTTTGGCTCACAGTCCTTAGGGTTGCTTTGTTTTCCCGAGAAATCCACCCGTGAAAGGCAGCACAAAAAGCTCCCGTGGTGTGTCTGCTCTGGGGCAGCAGGGGGGGAGCTCAGTCCGTCTGATCCCTGCGAAGTTTTGGCCGGTTTTGTCATCTGTTGTGTCGTGGCTCCCCAGTTCCAACCCCTGAAAGCTGAGCTGGCAGGAGACAACCTTAATGCCCAGTGCCAACCATCAGCACCTGCCGGGGGAGAACTGGGGGAACTCCCACCTGGCTTGGGAAAGGTGACCGGCCCCGAGCCCGCTCCAGCAGCCACACCTGCACTGGGTGTGGGGATGGAACGGGGGGAGCTTTGGGGTCCCTTCCAACCCAAACCACCCCACGCAGGAGTGAGCCCTGGGAGCTCCTTCCCGCTCTCGTGACTTCATCTCGTGGACAGGTTGCCCATTGCCAGGGGAGCCCAGGCTTCGCTGCTCTGGCTTTTACAGCTGTGAGGAGGTGCCAGCCCGGCCCTGGGCGCTGTGTGTGTGTCCATCCCCACCCGTGGTCCCCGTGGTGTCCCCAGGAGTGCTGCCATTGTGCTGCCCATGCGTGAAGGTGACGACAGTGCATCCCGTCCTTCAGCCTTCGGAGTGGACTTTTATTTTCACACTTTTCTATGGAGCCTTCAAACCCCACATTTTTCACACTTAGGCTGTTTTTGATAGTTGTTCTCAGCCCCTCCATTGCCATCCTTCCCCAGCATTCCCTACTTTTGGGGGCCTTCTATCTTGTTAAAAAAAGAAAAAAACAAAAAATCTTTTTACCGAGTGAAACATCGAGTCCACCTTTATCCCCATTCTCACTGGTGTAAATACTGATACTAACTGAGGATTTTGACTTTGCATTCTGTCAGAATACTGTGTTCAAATAAAAATTACGAAAAAGAAAAAAAAAAAAAAAAAAAAAGCTGCTGCCTACAGTCTGCCCTTCTTTGCTGTGCCTGAGCCCCTGAGTGCCACAAACAGCGTTTTCAACTTTGTGTCTTTGCCCCACAGAATTTATTTCTCCATTTCCTTCAGGTAGCAAACACACAGACACAGTTCCATGGCCCCTGTGAAACAGGGACAGCTTTCCCTCCTTCTCCCCAGTCCCCCCAAAAACGGTGCTTCTGTGTTGTGTGGCTATGGAAGGTGTGAGTTTGGGCTTTAGAAGTTCTCCTTTACCCATCCTGAACTGGATACCTGAGCTTGATTAATGAGGGTTGGATTTACTGAATTTATTTAATAAATTAATTCAATTAAGGGTCTTTAACTTTTTTCCTAAATTTTGACCAGAAACCGCCAAAATGCCCAAGTTTAATTTTTCTAGTCTGGGGGGGTGGAAAGGGTGGGGGGGTCTCTTTAATTTTCCCTAAGAATATTTTCACAAATTGGGAGTTTGTTTTCACACAGCAGTTTCCATTTGGCTGAAAAAGACCTTTTATTTATTTATTTATTTATTTATTTTTTTCCTCACTACCCATTTGATATAAAAAACACCAATTCCTTTCCAGTGGGGGAAACACGAAGTGGCCCCAGTCCCTGGTGGTGTCTGAAGGGAGGGCTCTGAGGTTGCCTTTTGTGTTGCTGGTTTAGCAGCTGCTCCCCTGGATGCCCCCCCCCCGGTGTCTGCTGTGCATCCTGTGCTGGGGTTCCTGGAATCTGGTCCCTGGCTTTGCCTCCTTTCCTGCTGCACCATCTTAACCTCCAGGAGCTCAGGTATTTTCCCCTCTTCTCCCAGAGATAACTGAGGGGCTGGAGCCTCGTTTACTGTCGCTGCACAGCGCGTGTTACCCTGTGAAAATTGGATTTTCCTTCCCCTGGAGTCATGGTTGTGCTCAGTGACCAACAGCTGCCAAATCCTTTACGAGATCTCTGTATTTCTTCAGCCATTTTTCTATCTCCTTTTAATCTACCTGCCTTTTAATTCCCATTTTAATTCCTAACTCCTCTCTCCCCCTGTTAAGGCTGTGGCACCCGACTGGCAAAGTCACCCTGGCTGAGTGTGGCAACTTTAACCCCCAGTCTGGACTGAATTTAGGGTAAGTAATTAGTAATTTGGGGTAATAAGAGCAGGGCTGGAGGGTGTTTAGGCGGGTGGATGGAGATGTTTGTGTTACAAACACCTTCTTTGTCTTGTTCTTTCCAGACATTATAATTAGTTGGTTTGTAATCAGGTAGGAATTGTGAATCCCGTGCATGTGCTTCAGGGCATCATTTTAAGTGCTTTTGTGTGGAAATAGAGACCTGGACACCTCTCAGTCAAGGTGGGTCTCACCTGTGCAGGTTTGCTGTGCCAGCACAGCGGGGCTTTGTTCCCCAGATTTTCTGGGATAACCAATAAAAACCCCATCTTTCTGAGCATCCCAGTGCCAGGGCCATCACCTCCTGGGTGTTTCTAATTGGACCCCACGGACACAGGGCTGGAAACAGCTTCATTAGAGCTCGAAATCTCCACCTTTGGGATGGTGAATTGCGCGGGCAGAGCTGGCTGCAGCGGGAGAAGGGAGATGTTTGGGTTTGGTGCTTGAGGGAGTGGCAGAGGGGTTGAGGGGATATTCTGGCTGCGAAGGGGGTGGATGGGGCAGGAGATGTGCTGCCTGTGGAGTCAGGGAGCTCAGCATCTTCCTGACACACAGGATTCCTCTTCCCGGGAGCTGTGGCGGGACGCGGAAGCAGAGGCAGGCGAGTGGAGCTGCGGGGTGTAAATTTATAGTGAGATTTTCTAATTTCACACCCATCAGACCCCACAGTGACCCGTCCTCGGGCGCTGCTGCCGCTGCCAGGTCACCTCGCGGTGTCTGTGCCGTTCTCTCCCCGACGATGTGCCTGGAATGGGAACATCCCGGCGGTGCAGCAGGAGCTCGGCGATGCTCTGGCTCCCTTTGGTGGCCGACAGCTTCCATAGCTACCACCTGCAGCGCCCTGCCTTTGGAAACACGGCCCTGCAGCGGCTCCGGACGAGGTGATTATGAACGAGAATAAAAAATTCCTTCGTGGAATCCCGTCATTCCGCGATCCCGGGGGGGGGGCCCGCCCGTTTCCCGCGGGACAGCAATCGCTCATTTGCATGGCTCCACCTTCTCATTTGCATAGCCCCGCCCACACACGCCCCGCGCATGTGACATCACCGGGCGCGTCTCCCCGGCAACGGTGCCGCTGGTTCGAGTCCCGGCCCCGCCGGGTCCCTTCGCGTCCCCCCCGTGTCCCCCTCCGTGTCCCCCCGTGTCCCCTCTCTGTGCCCCCCGCCATGCTCCGCGACGAGGACACCGAGGCGGATTTCCAGCGCTTCCTCCGCCGCGTGGACGAAGTCAGTGAGTGTCCTGCGTGGGCCGCGCGTCCCCGGCCCCCCCGGGCGGGGAAAGGAACAACGACAGAGGGAAATTGGTGGGGGAAAGGGAGGAGGAAAATGAGTGGAAAAGGGGGGAATTGCTGCTGCGCTGTCCCGATTTGGATTATACTCGGTGTCCCTGTGAGCTCAGGTGTGTCCCCGTGGATTCGGGTGTCTCCCCACGGGCCCAGGTGTGGCGATGCTTTGGGGATGCTGAGAGCTGCTTTATATCTATATCTATATCTATCTATCCATTTATTTATTTATTTATACAGAAATGTATTTATTTGTTTGTTTTGATAACGCAGACACTCTGGGGGCTCCCAAAGGTGACGTGACATTGAGTTTGTGAATGTTTGTGTTTCTAAACTGTCCCAGGCCGGGCTGGACGGGGCTCGGAGCAACCTTGGTCCATGGCAGGTGTCTCTGCCCGTGGCAGGGGTTGGAATTAAATGAGCTTTGAGGTCCTTTCCAACCCAAACCAGTCTGTAATTCTGTGATTCTATATCCTGGTCACCAGGGCCTTCAACAGCAGGTGCTCTCTGAGCTCCTGGTCCCTCCAGCATCGCTTGGAGTCCTGTGGGTATATAAAATCCTTCCTTTTCCCATCTTCTCTTCAGGCAATTTGCTGCAAGGCCTGAAGTCCCCAGACTCAGCTGTCAAGGAAAAAGCCCTTGCTGAGGCAGAGAAAAGGCTCCAGGAGGAAGGAACCAGCAGTGGGGAGGAAACCAAGACCACGGTGAACAGGACAGTCATCAACACCCGAGCCTCTGTAAGGGTTTGCCTCTGAAATCAGAGCTGGTTTAACTCTTTTAAATAGCACTAATTCACATCCTTTGCTCAGGAGAAAGAATTATAAGCAATATTTACAACTCTGGGCTGAAGACTCTAGTTGAAGACACACGAGTCCCTCTGTTAATTAGGTTTTGATTCCTGCAGTGAGGTTTGGATTGTGGTCACTTGCCTCATTTAAAGACACAAATAGAACCTTTCCAGCAATGTCAAAGATTGTTAAAAACCCTGTGCTGTGTTTCTTTTTTTTTTAGGGCCCAGCAGAGGCAGCGAATCCAGGTAGGACAGTGCTCACTCTGCTCTGGGACATCCCTTCAACCAGTTTTAGCAGAGCTTCTGTTATTTAATGCGAGACCTGATTCCACTCCTGCCACAGTCAAAGCTGGCTTCTTCAGTGAAAAATCAGAGCTACAAGTAAAACAAGTTTCATTTCAATTTTAAAATTATTAATAATAAAACCAACAAAACACATAAAATTTAATAAAACCAATAAAATAAAACTGATCATAAAATTTTAATCAAAATCCAGCCAGATCTAGGAACACACTCAAGGGCTTGATTAGCACATCTGTGTTTCTCAGGGGTAGGAGCTTTGCTGGTGGAGTTTCTGTGTCCTGGCCTCTCATCTAAAACTTTTGTATTCTGAATTTAAAAGCAAACATGTTCATCTCCAGAGATGAGCTACAGCAAGGCAGGTGTGCCAGTCCTGGTGATGATGGTGGCATCATCATTATCTGTGATAGCTTGTCATTCACATTCCACTTTAACTGCTGAGATGTCCCCACAGCATCGTTTTTATTAAGAAGTGACTCAGAAATACCCCAGAAATTAATTTTTTTTTTTAAATTTTAATGAGTTTTCTCTTTATTTTTCTTTTCCTTGACTGAAATGCCACCAACTCCCCTGGCTCCAAGACGCTTTCCTGGCAGCGCTGGAAAAGGACGCGAAAGAACGAGCTCAGCAGAGGAAGAGAAAGGAGCAGCTGGCAAATGGTAATTGCTGAAAGGGTTTTTGGGTGATGCCCTCAGAAATGGCTTGGTGAGGTGTCTGTACCAGACTGGGGGCTCACAGAGCTGCTCCTTGCCCTGTTACCCTTTGTGGGTTTGGGATGGAGGGAGCGGGTCTGGGCACCCCTGCCAGGCTGGGGGGGCTCAGAGCTGTCCCTGAGGGCTCTGTGTGTGTCCTTGGGCAGCTCTGAAGGAGGAGGGGAACGAGGCCTTCAGGAGGGGAGACCTTGCCAGGGCCATCCAGAGGTACTCGGAGGGGCTGCAGCAGCTGCGGGACAAGCAGGAGCTCTACACCAACAGGGCACAGGTCAGGGGGCAGCTGAGCTGGGGGTTCTGTGCCAGGGCAGGGCACTCTGCAAGACAAGTGTGGTTGTTCCTTCCCGGGGGGAATGCTCTCCTCTCCCTTGGATGTGGCTCCTCCGGGATAAGTGGGGGAAAATCGTTCTAATTCATAGTTTTATTTAAAATAGACTGATTTCTTCTATGAATTCTTTCAAGGGATCACTTACACAGCTGTAGAATGTAACATTGGCTTTGCATTCTCTCCTTCCCGTGTAAATTCCGTATGTGTGGGTTGAATTTTATTAAATTTATTCTAAATTACAAACCCTGAGGAGATGGAGGACAAGTCGAGAACCAGCTGATAATTTTCCTGCAAAATCAATGGCCAGGCAAATCAGCAGCCTGGTTTTATTCTTTTTTTATTAGCTGGTGTTTGTACAACAGTGAGCAGGAGTTGTTTGAAGGACTCTAATTCTCCTGCCTGGACTTTTTTTTGGGTTTATCTCAGGCCTACCTGAAGATCCAGGAGTACGAAAAAGCCATTGGTGACTGTGAATGGGCATTAAAGGTAATTCCAGGACTGGGTTTGTGTGGAACTGAGGATATGGAGACAACTGGCTGATGGAAATGAGGGAATGTGCACAGGTTGCTGCATCCTGAGTTAATCTGAACACCATAAACCAGTTCCTATTTCAGTGCTCCCTCTGTGCAGAAGCTTTCCTGGCTCTTAAAAGCATTTAATTAAAAAAATTTGGGGTGATAACGAGCTCTTAACTGCACACATTGGCACACAATATTCTGCCCAGCCTTTTAAAAATGGACCCTTGAAGCTCACAAAAAGAAAATGTAAAGGTATAAAATATATACACAAAATGCCAAGGAGCTGAGTCCAGATCCAGTTGTGTTCCGTCAGTGATGCCCATGCCTAGAACACAATTAGCAGGTTATTAATCACAGAATTGTTAAGGTTGGGAAAGACCTAAATAATAATAATAATAATAATAATAATAATAATAATAATAATAATAATAATAATAGTAATAATAATAATAATAATAATAATAATAATAAATATTTATTATAGGACATAGTATAATAATATAATAATAGAAATATTATATAAATAATGCTGGCAGCATCATTTAAATAAATCCATATTTTTGACACACAACTGAACTGGAAAAGGTCCTGCTTTCCACCTTAAACCAAAGCCTGTGCTCCTTGCCCAGGGAAGCAAAGTTGGTCCCTGGAGGTGATAATTCAGCACAGTAAGTGCTGTGAATACCCTTTTCTTTGCCTGCAGTTCTCTTGGGCAGATACAGCTGTTAATCAGAAGGCTGGAAAAAAATACTAGGAGGCTAAAAATTTCTAACCACATAATTTCTTTTTTTTTAACACAGTGCAATGAAAAATGCATTAAAGCCTATTTTCTTATGGGGAAGGCTCACCTGGCACTTAAACACTACCCTGAGGTGAGTGGACTGAATCCACTGTGGCCACGGGGCCACGTTTGTTCTGGTTTTGATGGGATGCTGTGGGTGAGAGGGAGAAAGTTTAATGCTGTGCCTCCTTTTCTGGTTTCTCACTGGAATGCTGGTTTTCTGTTCCCACTTGTACCTTCCTGGGTTTTACTGCAAACCCTTTTAATCTGAAATAGCTGAGTGGCTGTAGGGACTGGGAATAGCAGACAGCTTTGAGTGAGGAAAGTTTTTACCTGTGTGTCTTCATAAATCTTATTTGTCACGTTTAAGTGCTGTAGCCGAAAAAATTTTGAGTTAAACAGGAGGACTCTGACTAAGTTGTCGTGTTGCCCTTTTTTTCCTGAACTGAGGGCCTGTTTCCTCTCTCTGTGCAGTCCAGGCAGTGTTATGAGAAGATGCTGCAGGTTGATCCCCAGCAGGAAAGGCTGTTCAGAGGTAGGGACAGACTTTTTCACTCTGCTCCCCCTTGTTTGCTGATGGCTCCTCTGCTTCTGGGACAGCTCTGTGCCGGCAGCCTCTGCTCTGGGGGCTTCTCTGGGCTGTGCCCCCCTCCCCAGAGCTCAGGGTCACCCGTGCAGGCGTCAGCAGGAGGCAGAGCCGGGGGCTAAACTTCGTTTTTCAACCCAAAACTTCCCCCCAACAAACCATTCACCTGCCCTGCCTTGTTTCCTTTTGGCCTCCCAAGCCTGTGTGGCCGAGGTGAACCTGGAGGAGAAGAAGATGAAGGATGAAGAGAGAGCAGAGGAGGAGGTTCAGGCTGGAACTGTTGCTGCCCTGACCATCAAAGAGCTGCTGCAGAGACTTGGCACCCCTGGCCAGGATATCCTGTTCTACACAGGGGGCATCAGGCTTTTGGCAGCAGCTGTGAAGGACTGTGAGTGTTTGGTGCAAAGGTTGTTGCTCCTGGGAGTTGTGATCCAGGCAGGCGAGGACAAGGGAGCAGTTTTTATGGCAACAGGGCAACTGTTCCCAAATCTAAAACATAAAATTGGCCATATCTGGTGTTTCAGGATGGCCAGTGAGCATTTACATCTGTTTTTTAGAACTAGGTGTTGTAGCTGAGCTGTTGAGACCTCTGAGGGATTGGGGTCCCTGAAGGGCTGTTTCCTTTGTTTGGAAACGTTTGTAAGTCTCTGTTTACACACATTGATTAGCAGAGCCAGTTTTGTGGTCCAGCCTTCCTGGAGAGTCTTTAACTCAGAGTCAGTTGTTCTTTACAGCTCCAGGCACGAATTAAGAGGGGCCTTTACCTTCAAAGCTGCTCCTAATTCATTCATTCTGGGAGTTTTCCCTGTGTTTTAATGATGTTCTTCCCCCAGAGCTGTTGATCCAGTGACCTTTTCTTTTAGCACTGTGCCACAGGAGGGGCAGGAGCCTCCACCAGGCAGGTGGAGTCACAGAGCTGATCTGTTTATCTCTGGATTTTTCAGGCACTGGGCAAACGTTATTTAGAACAAACAATGGCTTCAGTATCCTCGGAGACAACGGGGCTGTTCGAGGGTGAGAGCTCTGCAGAGGGGAACAGAGGGGGGTTCCAGCAGGAGGAAATGAAAATACTGCTCCCAAGAAACACAATCACCTCCTGAAATGCAGATGGAATGGCCAGAAGAGAATGTAATAACAGATTGTAATGTCTGAAAGGGGTGACTTATGTCTGACTGCCACACAGACAGTGCTCTCTTGGGTGCAGGGGGCAGAAATAATCCATTCCTGCTTCTGTCTCCTCTTTCTGGACAGTTATCCTATCTCTCATGGTGAGAGCAGGGTTGTGAAAAAGACTTTATATAAAAGAACATCTGAAAACGCTCAGTTACTTTAAATATCCCTGGCTGGACTCCCTGGTGCTGTGGATTTGCCACCAGTAAATATTTGGGCTTATGCAACCTGTGAAAGTCTCTGTGATGAGGGAAGAGCAGCAGCACAGGGTCTTGTTTGGGGTTCATCAGTATTTGGGGTGTTGGCTGTGAGCAGACTTGAGAGGTGAAGCACTTCAGAGTTTTTCTGCCCTGGGTATCCACAGGTTTGTCAGTGCAGAGCTGAATTTATGCCCCTCATTGTGCTGTGTGCTGCTCAGGCAGGGTCTGGGTGTGCTGAGGGCAGAGTTACAAACCTGTTCCTGACAGTCCTAAAAGTGCTGAACCAGGGGTGGGTTTAGAGCTGATGAGTTCAAGCATCATCCCTGGAGGGCTTTGCTGATTATTTTTTTTCCCCCCAAAGAGCCAGTGGCTTGGTCTGTCCTCTGCTCTCCTTCCAAGCTGCCATCTCTCCTGCAGGTGCCTCTGTGCAGAGAGGAGGAGCCCAGCTGCACTGGAGCTGTGTGTGTCTGTCCTCGTGCTCTGGCAGGCTGTGTGTGCTGCCAATGGTAAAGTCAGGGGGTGCCCGTGGATCTTGGGCCATGGGCAGTTAATGTGGCATTGCTAGGGGTTAGTATGGGTGGAAAAACCAAGAACTAATCAGAGCAGTGAGGATGCCACTGAGGGACGTTGCTCCCAGGTACTCTCGTTTTTATTTTCCAGAAGAAAATCAGCGTCTCCTGCTGGCTCAGCCTGCTGTGAGTGCCCAGCTGCCAGAGCTGCTGTCCTGTGGGATACTGGAGATCCAGAGGGAGACCCTGGCACTGATTTCTCTTTACTCAGAGAGTGAGAGTGGGAGGAAACTGCTGGTCAAGCACCAGGACCTGACCAGGTAACAAACACCAGCGTGGCTCAATGTCCTCAGTGCCTGTCACTGCACCAGCACCCAGGGAGAGGCTCTCCCAAAGGACACACTGTCCTTCTGGGACAGGCCTGGCCAAGCAAAATTACAAGTCAAATGTGTGGGGTAAAACTTCAGGAAATTTCGTATCCAAAAGGAAATAAGTGCAGAGGGCTCATTGCTGAGGGTGTGATTTGGAGGCACAGGTACCTTCTCAAACAGGGGGGTGTTTGCCCAGAGCTCCCACTGTTGTCTCTGGTGGCTCCTGTTTCCAGCTGAGGGTCTCTGCACATTTAATAATTGCTATTTGTGGTTATTTAATGTTGCCCTGGCTCGCTGAGTGGAGAAAGAACCACCATTTCATTCCCTTGACCCTGTCCTCCTGCCATTTCCTTCCAGAGTTAACCAGGGGAGGAATTCCAGTTCACTGCTTTGCACTGCATGGTTTGAGGTAACAATGGATGAACACAAAAGGCTCCTTAACAATTGCACACACTTCAGTGTGTTCTGTACAACACTAATCCAGGGACATTCTTCCCTGGGAGGAAAGGTTAGAGAAATGAGACATCTGAGAGGATGCTTAAAAAAGGCAGATGTAACTGTGGCCTGACATACCAGGAGCCTGAAAAAAAGGGAATCTTGATCTTTTAATAATTAAACCAAAGCTGACACCAATTTTTTTGTGTTTTTTTTTTTTTTTCCTTTTTTTGTCGTTGTTTAATAACAGATGGCTGCAGATTCTGATGGCATTTGTCAAGTGCAGCGATGCCAGGGCTGGCAGTGCCATGAACATACTGTGTGATTTAATTGCAGAGGAGAGGTAATTTAAATTTCTCCTTCTGTTTTATAAAGTTGCACTTTGAGCCAGAGGCTGTGGGGTTACACTGCTGACTGATGTTTGTTGTCTTCCTGCTGCTCTTGTGTTGCCTCTGTCTGTGATTTTTTGTTTCAGTGTTTCTTTTTTCCCCAACAGGTTCAAAGCCCAGTGTCGGGTCCTGCTTTCCACGGGGGCTTTACCTTTATTCACCCAGCTGCTGGTATGAAAGATTTCTGTATTTCTGGTTTGCTTTGGTGGAACTAACGTGTCCACGTTGCTCCTGGGGTAGGACTACAGCAGCTACTGGGTCTGTGTTTCTGTAGGTTTAAAGAAATGCAGGTTTGTGATACCCTTTCCTCAGGAAACTGTCCTTATTGTCCAGGACTTCGTCCTACACATCCCTAGTTCAACATCCAGTCAAAGCTCTGGACTGTCCAAGGTACAGAAAAAGTCCCTGTCCAAGACACCCAACTGGTGACAGTGGATTCAAGTCACATTAAGAAGAGCATAACACAAAGCTGAAGGTGGAATCCTGGCCTGACAGATTCCCAGTGGGAATGTGCACCAAGGCAATAATTATATATGACTTTCCCACTGATCTGCTGCTCTTTCCTTGTGAACATCCCTGACTGGAATTGCAGCTGTTCTGCTCTGGGTTGTAGGAAGGGTTCTCAGTGTGAGGTTTGGGAACACAGAGTCCTGTCATCACTTTTTGCCCAGGACTCCTGAAGCATCACCAGGGGATTCACTGTCACAACGAGGGTGCTTTGGGAACTGGGGACAGCTGGGATTTAAGAGATCCTAGAATCGTGTTTCCCGCTGCCAGAGGGGTAGGAGCACATTGCTGGGGTTTCCTTGTCGTTTGTGCTGAATTTTTCCTTCCCCCCCTGTGTCCCCAGGTGTCTGGCAGGCAGGTGAACCTGGCAGCCCTGTCCTGTGCCATCAGCATCATGGGCAGCCTGTGTGCAGACCCAGGGATTCGAGCCCAGCTGGCTGAGAGCAGGGACTGCTGGCAGGGCTGCCTGAAGCTGCTGGTAAAGGGGCCTGGAGGGTGTTTGCAGCCTTGCCTGCTGGTGGAAATGTCTGTTTGTTTGCCTCCCCCCCAGAGCTCTGAACCCCTGACCGGGATCTCTCAGGTCCAGAGGTCTCGGAGGGTCACAGGAGTTGGGGATCCCTGGGGGGGTGGAGGGCAGTGAGTGGCCCCTTTCAGGATGAGCTCAGCCCTCAGGAACTGAAGAATCCAGAGGGTGGGAAAGGATCTTGTTCAGTGCCTGACCATCAGAGGTTTGGAGCGTGCAGCTTTAGGTACCAGGGTGAAACAACCCCCTGAACAAATCGTATCAAAACCACGTCATTGCTCTGCTTCTCACGGGGCTTTACCTTCCCTCTGACCTCTGGAGCATCAGAGGGAAGGCATACTGTGAATGTCTGAGCTGACTGCTCCCTTCCTTTCCTTGGCACACAGGAGGAAAGCCTTGATGGCAGCACACCCAGCTACCAGGAGTGTGTGTTTGCAGTGCTGGGCCTGATGATGAACTTGCTGCTTGAATCCAATGGGACCATCCAGGTATACAAGATCTGTGAGTTAAAAAAAAAAAAAAAAAAAAGTATTTAAAGTTATTTTTAAGGGTAGTTGGCAATTTAAGTAGGCTGAAAGGTGGTACCCGCAGTGGTATAAATGTTTTGTTTGCCATCACCCTCCAGCTGGGTGATGTTCTGAGACACTAGGCTCACTCCAAAATCATTCAAAGCTCAAGATTCCATCAAGGAGGAAGAATGTCACACGCTCAGTAACTTACTGAGGGTGTTCCCTGACCCCCACCGTGTCCTTTGTCGTGGAGAGCTTTGCCTGTGATCCCATTTCTCCTCTACCCCTTCCCAGCAAGTGATTTTTTCCCTGTTGTTGTTCCAGGACTTGGCTGTGGCCATCAGTGGCAGGTGCCTGGCTCTGCTCAGCCACCAGGACGGCAGGATTGTCACAGTAAGTCAACAAAAGGACGTGGCCTTGGCCTGACCCGTCACATCAGAGCAAACCTCTGCCCTGTACAGGTCTTACACGAGGCTTTGGGGCCCAAAAGGTTCCTAATAATAATATTATTTAATGAATAAGCTTGCAGGGAGTTGTACTGGTCTCAGTTTGGTCTCACCTCTCCCCTACACTGAGTTTAGAAGCTGCACTCTGTTCAGTTTTCACTGAACAATAAAAGAGCCTCATCCTCCAGATACCCTTTGTTAGGTTCTGTAATCTGGGATCCTCTGGATTTCTGTAAAACTTCTCCTTTTAGCCCTTTAATTACTTTGGTTGCTTTTTTTTTTTTCCTGCCAAAGGAAATAACTTGAAGTTTTCCTGGACAAATAAGCGTTTCCTTTTGCTCCTCTCCCTTTTTTTGCCTGACTCAGAGGGCCATTGGGGTGCTGAGCCGTGCCCTGCCAGCATCCCCTGTGGCTGTGGAGGAAGCAGTGAGAGGAGGGGTGGTGAAGAAAATGATCAAATTCCTGAAGGTAAGTTCAGCTCTTCTCGTTTCTGCTCGTGCCTCTGGCAGGCTGTGCCTCTCAGGTGGGTTTTGCATACTCTCTGTGGTGCACAGACACCCAGCTTGGGTCTGATACAAGGATATAAGAAATGCCTGAGTGTCTCCACCCTGTCACTTGGAGCAAGGTGGGTCTGAACTGTGTTTGAAAAACAAACTGTGGTTTGTTCCTGTGCTTTAATCCACCCAGGCTGGAGGGCAGCTCACGGCCCGTTATGGCATTAAGACCCTTTGCATCTGCACCAGGAGCAGCAGGCAGGCTCAGGAGGAGCTGGTGAAGGCAGATAAAAGTAAGTGCCAACTCCAGGAATTTGACTGGAAGCAAGGGAACCTGCACCTTGCCCTGGTGACATGGCTTGGTGGGCTTTGGCAGGGCGTGTATTTTGAAAAAAAAAATGCTGGTAAGCTGTAAATGAATTGGGGTGTGTTTCATCAGGTTTGTGGCTAAAATAAGAAACTCCTGATTTCCAGAGGTTGAGGCTATTTTAGAGTGTCTTTCATGGGGTTTTTTGCCTGCTATTACAACAAGATGGATACAGAGACAGAGTGATGATACCAGGCCAGGTGTCAGGGTAGTTTGGAGTATATTTGCTCTAGTCATGTGGTATAACACTGCTTAGATTGCTTTAAAATCCAGCTTCAATTAATGCTAATGTAGCTACAACAGAGAATACTTTAAATTTGCTCTAAATGGTTGAACCTGTCAAGAAACTGTCAGTGTGTGTAGTTCAGCTTGAACCCCAAGGGTTTCCACTCATTAAAAGCCTCTCAGAGCATCATCTTCCCTTTGTGCAGCCCAGATGAGTTTCACTGTCATCTGCAGACGAAGCTTTCATTTCCCCAAATAGCAGGAACACTTCACTCTCATTCTTCCCACCAGAGCTCTGGGTGTTAATCCTCTGAGAAGTCACTGTTTCTTATTTTTTTTTTTTTGTCAGCTCTGTTTGCCAGCCCAGACACTGGAATCAAGCTTTAGTCCCGTGACACCGAGTTGCACTTCTGGGCCACTTAATTCAGCCCCAGCCCCTGCTGCTGTGGGGAGCAGCACTGACTTTTCAGATGCTGTTGCAGCAGCAGGGGTGGGATGTGATCAGGAAGGGGGACCATGGGAAAAAAAAAAAAAACAAACAAAAAAACAAACAAAAAAAAAACCCAAACAAAAACCCAAACCAAAACAAAAACCAAAACAAAAATAAGTAAACAAAGAAAACCCCACAAAATTTATGTAAATGCCCAAGGGAGCTTCCTGGCTGTGTTTTATGTGGACAGTGGTCTCTCTAAACGTTTCCAGACTCTGTGGCCTGAGATGCTGCTGCTGCTGCTGCTTGCAGAGGTCAGCAGGAGCTGTACAACCTGTCAAGAGCACAGGGAATACTCTGCTGGTTACAGAGGTGGCTGAGCTGAGCCGCCCTGTGGCAGTTGAGGATATACAGAAAGCCTTTCACGTTCCTGTGTGCCACAGAACTCTCCCCCTGGGAGCTCAGGTGAGGACAGGAGGGCTCTCCAGCGCTCCTTGGGCAGCTCTGAGTGTGTCTGTGCCTCCTCCTGCAGGGTTTGCTGTGCTGCTGAGCCTGCTCGAGTCCCAGGAGGAGCTGGTGGTGGGAAACGCTGCTCTGTGCCTCAGCCAGTGCCTGGGTGTGCCGGGAGCAGGGACAGCCCTGCTGGGTTCCAGGGTGGTGCTGCTGCTGCTGGGACACGCTGGGGGTGACGCTGCCAGGGCTGAGGTGCAGGAGAACGCGGCCATCGCCCTGGGGAAGCTCTGTGCTGCTGAGCCAAGGTACTGCTCTTTGCCACTTGGTTTGTGTAACACACCAGAGATAAAAAAGGGAACCTTATTTTCTTAGCTGTGTTACTCTGAAATGCCATCTACCTGAGGAATGGTCAGGTATGATTTATTTTCCTTTCTGAGGGCAGTAGTAATCTAGAACCCTATTTCTTGTGCTAAGAGCAGTGAAACCTTAAAACTTTCATTGTAGTCACCGTCCATTCCCCCAGAAACCTTTCTGTTGTCTTTTCAGGCATATTCCTCAGCTGAGGAAGCTCAATGGCCTGGCCATCCTCAACTCCTCCATGAAACACCTGCACAGCAGCTGAACCCTTCAGGAGACCTCCCAAACCTGTTCTTAATACCACTTATTGTTAAGTATTCTTTTCTTTAATAAAGCTAACTCGAAGCACATCAGCTTCTCAGTCCCTTTGTGAAGCCAGTGAAACAATATTAATATCAGGAGAAAGAAGTTAATTTATTATCTAGGCTACCAACTAAAATAACAGCTTGCATTAAGCTGTCGTTGCTTTAATAAATGACACAATAAATGGCCATAAATACTTTTTTTTTTTTTTGCCTGGTTTTTAAACACAGGAAACAAAAGAATATATTACATTTATGTGGATAAGCACAGGCCAGTCATGTTTGACTTTAAAATGGCTCTTCAGCTTCCCTCCATGACACCTGTGGGTGTCTATTCTGGGGGTAATCTCGTCCCTTCAGAACAGTGGCTGACAAATTATATATCATCTCCTTTTCAAAATAGCAGCTGAATCATCTTCCCACTTGAGGAGAAGGAAATTCTCTTGTACCTGTTTTCCCCCCCCCCTCGCAGTGAAAGGCATAGAATTGATAATCTCAATTTAATAATCTCCCTGGCTTTTTTTTTTTTAAGGATCCTACCATTAAGCTGCACCCTGCCTAGACAAACATGTAAGAAATACTGTGTGTGGGTTCAGTGCAAGGAGGCACCAACACCAAAGGCTCCCTGGCAGCGTTCAGTGCCCTGGCTGGGGGACAGGTTGCTGGGGACAGGTCTGGGGTACAGGCACTGCCTGTGTGTCAGGGGCTGTACAAACACCAAAATCGGGGTCATTTTGTCTCCCAGACGAGTTTCAGAGTGGGGAGAAAGCCGAGGTGACCTGACCTTGGTTCCCAGCTGGAGGTGAGGGCCGGGCTGGCAGTGGTGTCTGTCGGCACCAGCTCCGGTGTGTTCTCCTCCAGGCTGCACTCGAGCAGCTTGCTGAGGGATGGATCAGGGGTTGTTGTTGTTGTTTCCTGCCCAGTGGCTCTCACTGTGCTTTCCCAGCTGTCACTGTGCTGCTTATCTGCCTCGTGCTCGTGTTTTCACTGCTCTCACCACAGCCACGGTGTTCTCTCTTTCCCCCCAGCCCTTCTCCAGTCTCACTGTGTGTGTTTGTGCAGGTGCCTGGCACTGGGGGATACCTGCTGTGCACTGCTGGTGCCTCCAGGTGAAGCTTTGCAAGGACTCTGGGGCTTTATGGCTAAAGGTAAAAGAGTTGTTGTGTGTGTGACTTTGCCCTCTGGCCTCTTCTTTGGCTGTTACGAAAGTTTAAAGTCTGATATGAAACTTTAAATTCTGTTATGGAAGTTTAAATTCTTGTCCCTCCTCTGTGGGTCTCGTTCCTCCCTCACCCAAATGTCAGGTCAGGCTGCTTTGAGCCAGCTGGGGGTTGTTCCTGTGCTGTCACCTCCCTGTGGCTCCTGCGTGTAGAACACACTTTGCCAGTGCCTGTAGGACTGGGGCAGAAGGGATCCAGCAGCTGGATTCCTTCTCTGGAGCCTCACCCTGCCTGGAGGGTCACAGGGACAGTGTGCATCTCCTGGGGTCACTGCATGAATGCTTCCTCCTGAACCTCCCCTGATGCAGCTCTGAGCCATTCCCACATGCCCTGGCACCAGATCCCAGGGAGAAGAGCTCAGCACCTCCCCTTCCATCCCCTCCATGTCCCCATCCCCTCCTCAGGAAGCTGCAGAGAGCCAGGGATGTCACCCTTCAGCCTCCTTTGCTCCAAGCTGGACAAACCCAGAGCCCTCATCCTCCCAGGAGGTGCCTTCCAGCCCTGCCCCAGCTCTGTTGTCCCCCCTGGGTACACCCAAGCACCTTCCCCTCCTTCCCAGAGCCCCCCAGGGAGCGTTTGAACTCTTCCCCCAGGGCTCCAGCTGCCTTGCACCAGCAGCCTCTCCTGTTCACAGTCCCTTTGTCCATCTCTGGATGGAAAACACACTCTCCTCTTTTGTTAAAAATCGATTGATTCCAATTGGTGCAGGGTGGTTGTTTTTTTTTGGGAACAGGTTATTGGTTGCTGTCTGGCCTAAGCTCTTATAAAGTAACCCAATACTCTGCCCTTCCAGAGCAAGCAGCAAGTTCTGAGAGGCAGCAGTGACTCCTCGGGGAGCTGCCTCCTGTCAGGGATGTATTTTCTTGGGATGACTCAGGAGCTGCCTCCCGGGATGCAGGAAAAACTCCCCATCTTTATCCTGCTTGCAGCTGGACTGCTGGATCTGTCTGGTGAGTGATGTGTTTTGTTCTCATCTCAGTTGCTGCTCCTCTGCCTCTTCCCCTCCGTTACCAGCGGGCACAGAAGGGATGCCCAGAGCTGGGGGACAACTTTGAGGAGCAGGAGCAGCTTCCCCTGCTTGTGGAGTTGGGCTGGGTGGTTTCAGCTGGGGGGTGTTTGTGGCCCCACTCAGGACACTCCTGTGCTGTTGACCTGAGCTCACACACAGGCCCAGTCCCCAAAAATAGATATTTTCTCTTCAGGGTGGGGAAAGCAAAGCGAAAAGTCCTTTTTCCCCCGAATAGTTCCAGTGAGGATCAAACTGGTGAAACCTTGTTCAGAGCCCCCTTTTCCAGGCACCACAGTTCATCATCTTAAGCCTGATAAGGATTCTCCACCCAATTAACAATTTGACTCTCTTTGTGTGTTTTGTTTCTTTAAATCACCTTGTCCCCCTGCACGGTGTGTTTGTGACTATTCACACCACTTTAAGACCTCAATTCATTCAAGTGTTTTTTTCTTTACAGGCAGATCACTTGTGTTGGGGCTAAGCCATGGGAGTGTCACTTGTTTGTACAAAACCCCCAGTTTAAAGTGTTTTATCTCCATCACCTGCTAACTTCCATCCCTTTTTCAGCAATAAATCAGCTTTTTGAGTTCCCTCATATCAGCTTTTCCTTCTCACTGCTGCCTCAGAGTCCTGCTGGTTCTCCAAACGTCCCCAGGGATGGTGAATCTTGAGGCATCACACCTGGGTGCCAACCCCAGGGATTTAATCTGCTAAACCTCTGTAAACCCCCCACTCCCCAATTTAAATGCATAACACTGAAATGCATAATCACTTCATAGCTTTTAGATCAGAGCTGTTTCCTGGCAGGTGCCTCGGGGGGGGGAAAGAACGCTCCAAGTTTTTGGAGAGGAAAAGTGCAATAATGTTTTAATCGATGGTTTGGAAATGATACCTAGACAGCCTTTTAAACCGAGGGTCTGCCTGTTTTAAATGGCAAAGTGTCTGCTTTTGATTAGGGAGTAAAAAGGTGGAGAAGCTGCTGTGTGTGAAAACAAACCAGCTTCTCGTCCTGCTGGTCACCCAGCGTGGGGCAGGAGCTCCTCCCAGGACTGGGGTGCTGGGGAGGGACGAGTGCTGAGGGAGAGCCAGCTGAGGGGTTTTAGTCTTGCTTTGCTGCCCTTGGTCAGCCTGAGCCTTTCCTGCCCCCTGCACCTTCAGATCCCTGCAGAGTGAAGGCAGGGGGTTCCCCCCTGGCTGGTGGGTGCTTTGGGTCCTTCAGGGGATGCTGAGCATTGACAGCAGAGGGGCAGGTTTGTCCCAGCTCGGTGAGGTGGAGCTGCCCACCCTCCCTGTGCTTCTGGGCAGGTGTAAAAGTGTTGGAAAGGGCTGCAAACTGTGCGAGGTTCTTGTGCAGCTGGATGGGCCAAAGTGTTTTCTGTTCCTCAGGAGCCTCCGGGAACGATGGTGGTGCCAGTGACATGTTGGGCCTGGGATTCCCTGGAGGGGCCCAGCCCAGAGCTGAGAGCAGCCCTGGGCCCAGCCAGGGGGTCCCTGTGACAGAGGAGGACCTGGATGGGGTGACCTCCCATCTCCAGAGTGCAGCAGCTGATCCCACCAAGGAAACCACAGCTGACTCCAGCCCTGCTGCCACAGAGAGAGCTGCAAACAGGACAGCTCTGCTGCCTGGGGACTCAGCTGGGGACCTGGGGGTGTCTGAGCCCCTGCACACAGAAACAGCAGCTCTAAAAGCCCAGGGTGGGCACGCTTGGCCTGGCAGCATCCCTGTCTCCACACAAGGGTCCCAGGCTGCCACAGCTCTGCAGCAACCACACAGCTCCCTGCAAAGAAGACCAGGAGATATTCCTGGGGATGATCTCAGCCCTCCCAGCTCTGGGGCTGGGCTGCCCCAGCCCTCTCCCAGTGCAGGGACACACCAGGACTCTCCCCAGGTCACAGCTGTCCCCTCCCTTTCTGTTCTTAAGCAGATGGAGGTGACAAAGCCTAAAACGTCTGCCTTGACTTCAACAGTCCATTTTCATCCTCCAGGAAAAGGAACAGCAGCGCCTCCATTTCCCAGCAGAGCTGGGATTGCTCCTGGAAGTGCAGGGCTGGGCTGGTCACCCCCAGGAATGCACAGAACTCCCCAGACCCAGCCTGGCAGCTCAGCAGCTGTGACACCTGCACACCTGAAGAGGACTCAGGGTATGGATGCTGGAGTTACAGCTTCTGCAGTGCCAGGACAGCCATCTCCAGGGGGCCTGGATGCAGCCTATTCCAGAACAGCACGTGCCAGGGCCACTCAGGTTTCCCCTGTTCTGCCTCTGAATCAAGAAACAACAGGCAGCAAGGGCAGAACTCCACCAGCAGCTGTAACAAATGGTTCTGGACACCCAACCCAGCTGCCTGCTCTGCAGACACTCCCACCAGGACACCTCCACTCCTCTTCATTACTGATGGGATCCCCAGCTCCTGCTGGATTAACTCCATCCCCATTTCAAGGGCCTGTTGGCACGACTGGAGGACAACAGTCCTTGGACAGGACCCTCAACTGCACCAAACCTGCTGCCCAGGAAAGCAAGAGGAGCTCTCAGGGAATCACTGCTGTAGCTCTGCAAGGAGATTCTGATCATGGGATGGTGACAAGCAAACCTGGGAAATCTGCATCCCCTGAGAGCCCACAGGCTTCTGCTACTTCATCCTCCTCAAGCCCATCAGGGATTTCCACATTAAAACTTTCCCAGACTACTAAAGAGCAAAAAGAAGCAACATCTGCACCCCCTCCTGGAATGTCTGCCTTTGGGAATGCAGACCTTCAGCCCTGGGATTCTGTTCAGGAAGGGCTTCAGCCACCAGGTGCATCTTTCCCTGGATTGCAGCCCATGGGCATCCCCAGCTCTGCTGAGAGACTTCACACCACAACAACAGCAGTTTCCTCCACAGCTGCTGGGGCTGGGGCTGGGGCTCAGGGTGTTCCTGCCCATCCTGGATCTCAGGAAGCCTTTGCTGGGATGCTGCAGCTGAGCATGGTGGAAGACAAGAAGAGAAGGAAAGGTCTCCCTCAGCAGACAGCTGGAACTGGTTCTCCAGCAGCCAGCCCAGTCCCCAGCCCCTCTGGAGCCTGGGACAGCAGGAACCAGACAGCTCCCTCTGCCAGCTCTGCCCCTCCAGCCTCCCAGACCCACCACGCTGGCAGCCTGGCAGCTTCTGCTTCAGAACCACCCTCAGCCCCTGCAGGGGGAGGCCAGTCCAGCTCAGCCCCAGCACATCCCGATCCAGGGGTGCCCAGTGTCCCTGCAGAGGTCCCAGCACAGCTGGCACAGGCTCTGGTGCAGCAGTTCAGGACGGCACTTGATGCAGCCAGCAGGAACCTCAGCACTGCCAGAGGAGACCCCCTCACCATCACAGCAGCCCCAAACCTGTCCTTCCTGTTCAAGAGCACTGATGGCACCATCTGCCTCCAGCCCATGCAGGAGCCCCCCCTGCCCAGGACATTCCCCAGCACCAGTGTTGGGGGGCTGGTGTCCGTTCAGCAGATCCTGGCAGCATCAAACTCCTCAGTGCTGGACCCTGGGGACTTGCACCATCTGAGTCCTTCCAGCTTGGTGCTGGTCAGGCCTGTGTTCATCCTGCTGCCCACTGGCACAGCAGACTCACCCTTGGCTCGGGGGGAAGGGGAGCACAGAACCACCCACCTGGTCCCAAACGTGGGCACCCCTGAGAGCAGCCACGTGAGGACTGGTTCCTCTGATCCCAGCAGGAAACCTGGAACTGCTCTGCCCACTGTGTCCAGCCAACAAGCAGAGAGAGCAAAGGGAACTCCTGAGCCAGCTACTCCCAACTACAGAGCCACCACGGGCTTGCTCCAAGCTGCCACCACAGCACCAGGTCCTTTGCTGGAGCCAGGGACGGGGATGAGCAGCACAGGGCAGGCCCTGCACCTTCACAGGATGCCAGAGGAGATGCAGATCCCTGCTCTCCATTCCCAGGAGGCCAAGGGCACTGATTTCCTTCTCCTGAGCAGCATGTTGGCAGAGCCTGGCATCTCCCCTGGGGCACCATCAGTGCTGCCCACGCAGCAGAGCCCCCACACTTCCCCCAAAGTGTCTCTCACCACCGAAAAGCCACATTCTGTAACTCCTTCACTGCCAGCAAAGGGACTCCCTGATTTCCCAGTGCCTGCCCAGCCTGTGCCCACCAGCACAGGGGCTGCAGGTGGTGCTCAGCACAGTGGGACACTGCAAACTGCTGCCCCTGGCCGGGGCTCAGTGACCACCCTGAGCTCTGCCCCGGCTTCCCACGGGACCTCACGCTCAGCTGGAACCACGAAATACCCACTGGAGGTGGTCACAAGCACCAGACCTCTGCAGGCCACATCCCAGAGGCTCCCCAGGACCACGTTGCTGCTGCCATCAGAGGCACCCAGCATGTCCTCAGCTTCCCCAGTGCTTCCAGCTGGGAATCAGCACAGAGAGGCTGCCCTGGGCAGCACAGCTCCTCCAGGAGCTGCTCCAGCAGCACAAACCCACAGCACTTCTGTACAGCCTGATCCCCCCCAGCACTTGGAATTCACTGCCACGGTGCCCAAGCCCTGGGTGAGGACAGAGGCAGCAGCAGCACCGGTGCAGACTCCCTGTGCTGCAGAGATCCAAACGAAGGCAACGCTTCCTGGGAAACCTCTGGCTGCAGTGACCCACCCACGGGGGTATTCCAGCTCTGCTGCACACCCACCTTCTCCTGCACCTGCACACGTGCCCCTGCTGGCAGCCCTGGAACGTGACCAGGCCCTCCAAGAAGCTCCCACTGAGCCGTTCCCAAAGCCTACGGAAATCAGCACGAGGGCAGGACAAGCAGGAAGCGGTGAATTCCCGGGGATGAGCGTGTCTCTGTCAGCCACAGTGGGCACACATACACAGAAACCCCCCCCAGCAGCTCTGGGGGATGAGCTGGGTTTAAGTGCAGCACAGCCCTCTGTTGTTGCCCTGCAGAAACAGCCTCGAGGGACACAGGGCACCCCACGGGCTCCAGCAGCAGTGACTGCTCCCTCTGCAGCGAGGGGTGGCCCTGCCACTGCTCCACTCGTGAGCAGAACAGCAGCTTCCCAAGCTGACCCCAGCGTGGTGCTGCCCACGGCTGGCAGGGCAAACACCCCAGCTCCGGTCTCTGCAGCCCTGGGCAAGGGGCAGGAGGAACCAAAGGCAGGAGCAGCCCCCACCAGCCACCTGCCCACCCAGGCAGCCGTGTCTGCATCACCCAGACACCCTCTGGAGAAGGATGTCCCGGAGGACAGCGTGGAACAGGAGCCTGCTCATCCCAGCCCTGGCAGCGCCGTGAGTGCCACCGGGCCACCTTCAACAGCAGCGTTGGCTGTCTCTGCTGACAGGCCTGTGAATAATCACTCAGCTGCTGAGATGCTTCTAGCCAGAGACCCAATCCAGCTCCTCCCAAGCCCAGAGAGCCCCTCGTATCCCCCCAGGAGCCTGGTGGCACTTCCAGCCCAGGGGAATTCCCTGCTGGGTGTTGCAGGCACTGACTCATCCCAGAGGCTGCTGCTGAACACGGAGCCAGAGGAGATGGGCAGGACGGAGGAGGTGACAGACGGAGCAGCTGAAGGCCTGGTGACTGTTGTGACGCTGCTGGATGGCCAGCCCAGTGCCCCGAGTGACTCACAGCACAGGAGGGGGCTGCAGCCGGAGCTCACCGTCCTGGATGGGTAATCCATTCCCTCTGTGCCATTCCTGCCGCGGGATTTAAGGATGGGGTCAATATTTACGAGGGTCTGGGAGGGCAGGACAAGGTGGAATGGCCTCACATTGACAGAGCCTGGGGCTGTTCCATTGCCAGCAGTCCATGTTTCCTGGCTGGGCCTCACCCTTTCCCCCTTTTCCCCTCTTTCCCCGCAGCCTGGCCGTGGTGAGCGACGACGCCTGCGGCTCCGGCAACTACACGGTACAGCTGAGCCTGAGCCCCGCTGCTGACACAGCCCCTGAGCCCCAGGGGCCTCCAGCACCTTCCCCAGAGACCTTCCTGGCCCTGGTGGCCGTGCAGGACAACCTGAGCCAGCCCCTGGTGCAGCCCCTGCTGCAGATCCACTCGTGCTGTGTGACCCCCTCCGCCAGCCCCGGGGCACCAGGAGCCCAGTGCTGCCTGTTCCGCAGGTGGGACACGAGCCCACGGGGGTGGGATGGGCTTCACCTCCCCTGGGATCCTCAGGGAACCCTCTCCTGTGTCCTGTGGCTGCAGGCTGTGCTCCTTGGAGCAAGCTCCAAGCAGTGGGAATGAGTCCAGGAGTGCTCTGCTCCCTCAGCCTGTGATTAATACCAAGGGCTTGATAAGGCAAAGAACCCTCAGGGAAAAGAAATCTCCCTTTGGTTTATGTAAATGAGCCATCCCAATTGCCCACATCCATAATATTTTCCATTTATAATGTAGATAAGCCATCCCAGCTCCCCACAGGTGCTGTCCCAGGTGTCAGGGAGCAGCATCCCCTGCCCTTCCTGCCTGGGGTGGCACATCCCGGGAGCAGAGTAGTGCAGGGATGGCAGCCAGGCAGATTCTGCACAGGCTCCCATTCCCCCAGCAGCATTTCACAGCTGTTCTGGCCTCACCTGAGCACAGGGGAACGGGAGGATTCATGAGCTGATGTTTGCAAAACCACTGGGGTGTGAGATGTGAGTCAGAAGTGGATCAGGGAGTGGTTGTCACACCCCGGCAGCCATTTCACTGGTTGTACCAAAATCAGCCTCCAAGGAACAGTTCTGTGCTCTTGGGCTGTGGCCTCCACAGCAGGGCAGGTACAGCCTGCAGTGCTGACATTTGAGGGGTTTTGTTGAGCTCTGCCTTGTGCAGACCCTGCCTTCAGTCAGCTGGAAGTTGAACCTGTTTGCCATTTGCTCCTGCCAGGCTGCCATTTGAGTGCAGACACATCCAGCTGCTGCAGAGCAGCAGGTCCAGAGCTGCCAGCTTCACCATCCAGCTGTTCCAGATGCTGAACCACTCCGTGGCCTATCTGCACTGCGAGCTGAACGTGTGTCTGCACGGGAAAGTGGGATGTGAGCAGGTACGTGGGGTGGGGCTGTCCTGGCAGGACTGAGGAGGGACCTGGTGCTTCCAAAGTCACCACACCAAGGCCACCCCTACCTGGGAAACCCCTTTATCAGGTCTGGGAGGGGAGTTAAATGACATGAAATGGCAGCAATAGTTGCTAATCCTCAGGGAAAAGGATTCAGGGAATAGGGATTGACATGTGTGCTGGTCCAAGGATTAGCAACTCAGCTTTTGGAATGGCAGCAGGGCTGGAAAAGGTGGAGTCTGAGGAGATCTGTGGACCCCTGGGGCAGGAGGTTCTGTTCAGGTGCCACCAACACCCCTCCAGAAGTTTTCCCATGTCCTTCCCAGGACTGCTTGGAAAGTGTGGAGCCAGTTCTGCAGCCCAGTGACAGGAACAGCTATGGAAACCTGCACAACCTCATTTCATTTGGTCCAGTTTGGAGGATGAAGGACAGGTTTCTGTACAAACCTGTGGAAGGTGGGTCTCCTGTTTTGCCTTCTCTGTCTCTCTCTCTTGGAGAAGTTTTTGTCCAGCTTTTCCTGCTGAAAAAAAGAGAAAAGCAGTAGTTTTAACAGCTTTCTTGACAGTCATTTTTTGTGCTGAGCTTAGGGAAGATGCCCCATATTTGGAGGCAAGGGAACACCAGCCACAGGTAACGGGATTAAAATCTACCTTACAAACATTTGGTGCAGAATGAGGTTGGCCATAAGTCAGGAGTGTTCACAGGTGAAATACAGCAGCTGGTTAATGTTAATCAGATGTTGTCCAGGTATTAGAAAAGAGTGACACTGAACCTGGCACATCATGAATGTCAGAGACTCCTTAAATCCACTGGCACCATCCCAAATTCCTCGTGTCTTCAGTTGTTTATGAAAAGCCAATTTACTGTTGGCATTCCATGGTACAGAAGGCTGCGTGTTTGTAAAGGCACTGCCCATTTTACTGCTCTGGGGGTAGAAATCGCCACATCTCCTTGGCACGCTCTGAAGATGGGGGGGTTTAACCTTCCCTCTCCCTTCCCTCCCTCTCTTCACTCCCTGATCCCCTCTCTCGTTTGCAGGTGCCGGTTCTGCCGTGCTGCTGCCCATCCTGCTGGGCTCCCTCGCTGGCTTTGCTGTCCTGGGCAGTGCCTTCATAAGCCTTTGGCTGCACCACAGGCAGAAAACCAAACCCCTCCACTACCCCCACTTTGGGGACATCCATGGGCCGTGAGCCTGGAGCAACTCCTGGTCCTGCAGCTCCCCCCTCAGCAGTGACTGGGGGAGCAACAGTGCCTGCCTGGCACACTTTGCTTCTGTAGAGCTTCTGCTGAGCCAGGGAGCCATTAAAATGAGCCTAAAACAAAACTAGAGCCTGCCATCGGGGAGCACACGGCGTTGGGAAAAATGTGGGAATGTGGACCTGGCAGAGCACCTCATGGCAAATTCACCAGGGGAAGGAGGAAGAGGCATCCCTGGAGCGTGGAAGGAGCTGGAAGGCACTGGGAAGGCACCTCTGGGAAGGGATCCCCCTGCCTTTGGGGCCACGCTGTAAATGGTCAGCACCACTGCCCCACCTGGTTATTTTAGTGCCACTGAAGCTGGCTCTGTGATGTCTCTGAGGTCTGAGCTGTTTGCCCAGAAATGGGCACCCCCTGAAAGGTCTGTGGGGGGAATGCCACTCTGCAGCCATGGACTGTGTTCCCCTATTCCCTCACCCTCTCCTGAGCTATCTGCAATAAAACTGAGCGTTGCAGTAAGTGTTTGTCTTGCCTGTGCCTGAACATGAGGGGAATGGAGTGCCCTTGTGCCTGTCCTCAGCTCCAAAATGGTGTTGGCAGGTGAGTGCCAGCAGGTGGGAGGGGGGGAGTGGCTGGGGCAGGACCAGCATCTCACCTTAGGGAGTGGCAGGGAATTGGCAATAGTCACCTTCTAATGTTTTTTTTTTCCTCCCTGAAAGGCTGCAGAGCCTGGCTGGCTTTTCACCTTTTCCAGGGAGAGCTGGATCATTGCAGACCTGTGTGCACAGACCCAGACAGGACCATCAAACCCCTGTCACAGCCAAGGGATGTGAGCTGTGCCTGCTGCTCACATGGGGACGGTTGAACTGCTCAGACTAGTGTTCTTCATTCCTCCAAACATCCCTTACAGGCATCCAGGGGCAGGTTTGATCCCTGAGGGATCTGCTCTGGGTCACTGCAGTTCTTGTGCTCCTGCTGAAGCATTTTCTCAGGCTCATGAACTCATGTTCACCACATTCTAGTTCTGGGGTTTTTCTCTCTTCTTTATCTTTCTGGAGTGTTTTTCCCTTGTTTATCCTGCTGCACAGGAGCCTCACGGATTTCCCTCTTCCTTCCCTTTCCTGGCTCACTCTCCCCTGTGATGCCCCAGGTGAGGAATCCCACCCTCAGCCCAGTGCAATTGCTAAGGGATTGCTGTTTGCCCCACTTTGGTGTTCTTTGAGCATTTTCCCACAGAGAGGGAATACAGGAGAGCAGCTTTATGGCAAAGCAGGAGTTAGGTCACGCAGCTCCTCTGCATGGTAAATGAGAGTGACACACAGGATCCTCCTCCTGGCAGCAGGCAGCAGGGCTCACCTGGGCTGACTCCCCAGGCAGGGCAGGAGCAGGAGGAGCTCCTTCCTTCCCCGCTGACAGCACCCAGGCAGCAGGCAGAGAGTGCTGCCTGTCCTGCCATGAGCGCCCACAGGGAGCGGCAGCTGGGCAGCCTGACCGTCTTCAACAAGGAGGACTTTGAGGATGACTGGGTGAAGGTGGCCAGTGGAGGCTTTGGGCACGTGTACCAGGTGAAGCACAGGAGGTGGAGGACAGTTTATGCCGTGAAATGCTCCCCGTACCTGCTGCAGGACTCCGGCATGGACAGGTAACAGCTCACACTGTCCACCCCACTGCCCGGGGTGCTTTGGTGCTCTCAGGGAGAGCTTCATGTGGCTGCTGCTCCTTGGGCAGCCAAGCTTTTGGGACCCAAAGGGAGTGGGAAAAGCACGGGTGGTGTGGAGTTCTGCCTCTCTTCCTGTCTGAGGTGTGGATGTGCCAGGGGGAAGGAGCACAGGGAACAGGGTTACTCAGAACGGTTGGTGCTGGGATCTGAGGCTGAAAGGCACCCTAAAGGTGGACATGTGGGTAAAAACAGCCTGATCACTTGGTTGCAGCTTTCACTGGACACTGGGACTGGTGTGTGTCTGTTAAACCAAATCAGTCATTACAAACATCAGCTTTAGAGCTGAGGGACAGAGAATTTACAGCTGGTTTTGCTGGACTCCCAAAGCTCTGCTCCCTCACTTGCTGGAGCTTCCAGACCTGCTCTTTCCTCTCACTGGGGCACCTGCACCTTCACTTTGCTTTTTACTCTGCCTCTCACCTGCAGAGACTCTTCTGCTGACCCACCTTGGGACTGGAGATGGAGCAGAACCAGGTAATCACAACCACTGCTGATAACACATACAGTACAGTTGGAAAAACAACTGAATTGAAAAAGTAATTTAATTTAAAATTTTACTGCATTCAAGCTGGGAAAATGCTGCCTGCTTAAAAATCTCACCCTGCTGTGATTTCATACTACTGACAACAACTGAGATGGGTCAGCCTGAGCAGTGACTGTCCTCAGTTTGCACTGGTTATGCTCTGCAGATATTACACTTGCATTTTGTTCTTATTTGGGGGATGGAGGGGTGGAGTGTAAAAAAGAGTCTAAATAATCAGTTTTACTTCTGCATCTGCCAGTTCTTGTCAAATACCTGCAGTTGCTCCACACCCAGGTACGAGTCACTGCGGGGAGCTGCTGGAGGGAGCCTGGCAGAGGGCTTTGCTTGGCTGAAGCATCTCAGGTCTGTGAGTGGCTGGAAGCTCAGATCCATTCCCAGGGTGTGCTTTTTAAAGGCAGCCCTGGCGCTTCACTGCTTGGCTGCTCTCAGAGTGCTCTGGGCACCCCAACTCGTTGAGCAGGCTGGGAAATGCAAAGCTGCAGTGGAACAGGTCTGCCCTCAGTGAAGCAGGTCTGGCAGAGCTGGCAGTGAGGAACAGGCGTGTCTGGGCTCCCTCTGGGACCTCGTTCACCCTGCTCAGGGCCAGGAGGCTGCAGGCACAGGTGGAGGCACAGGCAGGGCAAGGCATGGCCTGGGGACACCGCGGTTCACTGAGCTCTGCCAGCTCCTGGCGCCGTCAAACATCCCTTGGGAATTTCACAGAACCCCAGAAAGGTCTGGCTTGGAAGGGACCTCAAAGATCCTCCAGTTCCACCCCCCGATGTGGCTGCACTGCCATGAATTTAAGGGGCAAATTGGGGTGAATCTTTCCGGGGTGGGCAGGGCTGGATATCTCTGAGCTCCCACAGAGTTACTGAGCCTGTGAACCAGCTGAGGCAATGTCTCAGTTCCACTTTCTGTTTTACTGTTTATTCTCACTTTTCCAGGACCAGTATGAACTGCCTCATGGAGGAGGCGACCAAGATGGAGAAAATCAAATTCCAGCACATCGTCACCATCTACGGGGTCTGCAACAGCCCCCTGGGGATAGTGATGGAATACATGGCCAGGGGGTCCTTGGAGAAAATCCTGCCCACTCACAAAATGTCGTGGCAGCTCAAATTCCGGGTTATCCACGAGATGGGCTTGGCTATGAACTTCCTGCATAGCATGACACCCCCTCTGCTGCACTTGGACCTGAAACCAGGGAACATTCTCCTGGATGGGAATATGCACGTCAAGGTATGACCTCACTGGGCGTTTGAAGGGACGGGTCAAACAAGGGAAAGGTTGTTTTTGCCAAACAAGTGCAGAATCCTGGCATATCGAGTTCTTCAGGAACACCCCATGAAAAATTGGCCAGTGGGGCTTATAAGGAGCAACTGGCAAACAAATTAAATGATAATCTCGAGGTCAGCCTGGGAATCTGTGCCAGACCTGGGAATTTAGGGCTCCAGCCTAGGAGGAAACGCTGCTCTGCTGGACCCAGTGACAGGGACTGAGTGCAGTTTATCAGGGTTTCACCAAGTTTCAGCTGCCTGGACCCTCCCCACGTCCCTGATCCTGAGGGAGGGGGGCATGTCCCAGCTGACAGGAGGAGGGGTGAGGTGTGAGCACCACGAGGGAAAGGCTCTCACTGTTTGTGCCTGCAGATCTCAGACTTTGGGCTTTCCAAATGGATGGAGCAGTCCAGCAGGATGCAGTACATCGAGAGCTCTGCTCTGAGGGGCACTTTGAGCTACATCCCCCCCGAAATGTTCCTGCAGAACAGCAAACCCCCAGGAATCAAATACGATGTGTACAGGTAAGGGCTGCCAGAGGGCACCCAGGGAGCTCCCTGAGCCCTTCCACAGAGTGAGAGGCACTGCCCATTGCCCCATTTGGGGTAAATCCTGGTTTATAATGTGGGGAACAGCCTGGCAGTGATGGGGTGCCCCAAACTCTGTGCTGGAGACCGAGGGGGAAGGGGATTTTCTGTGGCTAATCATCATCCCTTACCAGCAGCACCCATCCCATGTGAGCTGCTGACTGTATTACCTCAGGTGCCATCACACCCTGTTTGGTTACTGGAAGTTATTATAAAAATGAGTCAGATTAGAGCCCAGAACACACAGTGTCTGCTCTTTCATAGCAGTCGCTGCTTGCTTTTAAAACAACTGTAATATTGCTTGTCTGCTTCAGTATCCAGCTTCATTTTGGTCAGTAACAGATGGAGAAGAGATTTCAATGTGATTTTTTTTTCCTTTGGGGCAGAGAGCTTTGAAGCATATTTACACAAGCTACATATAAATGTCTGGAAAATCCTTGTCTCCTTGGCCTCTACCCCAAACAACAACCGAAGGCAAGAAGCAGAGGAGGATTTGCATGGCCACATGAACTTGCAGTGGTCAGGGCCTCTAAAACCCAACGTGAATGAAGTGAAAAAAAGGCACTGAGAGCCCAAGTTGGACAAGAAAGGCTCAAGGTCACTAATTCACTGCACCGACCCTTTTGCTGGGGCATCAGGGACGTGTGAGATAGAACCATGAGACCTGATCCTTTTGGCCTGGGGGGTGAAATCCGTCCATCCTGAAAGCCCTCTTCCCTAACTTCCCCATTTCTCGAGAGGGTAAAAGCAGTAAGTGCACTTTGTGTACACATGGCAGTGACTGCTCACCATCTCCCCTTGCCCGCAGCTTCGGCATCGTCATCTGGGAGGTGCTCATGCAGAAGAAACCCTATGCAGGTAAATGCGAGCCCCTCCCCCTGGCTCTGCACTTGGGGAGCGTTCACTGCAGCTGCCCTCACAGAGGAAGAGCCCAGTGTGTGCTGCTCTGTTCCAGGAGCCAACATGATGGCCATCATAGTCAGGGTGGCGGCGGGGAAGAGGCCTGGGCTCGAGCTCATCAGCGACGACTGGCCTGGGGAGTGCCAGCAGATGGTGGACCTGATGAAGAGGTGCTGGGACCAAGACCCCAAGCAAAGGCCAAGCTTTTCAGGTGGGAATGTGATGGGATTATCCAAAAACCAGCTGCAGGGATTAACCGGCTTGTGTGTCACTTCCTCGGTGACATCTCCCGAGATTTAACCGCCTGGTGCCCTTGTGCTGTCAGGCATCCTCTCTGTCTTTTTTCCCTTTCTTCCCACGTGGAAGTCTTGTGTCCTGCCTGGGATGGGAGCCCCTGGGCAGCCTGCAGAGCTGACAGAGTGTTGCTCTGGCAGATATCCCTGTGGAGACAGACATGCTGCTGGCACTGATACAGAGCCTGGTGGTGGACCCGGAGAACGAGCGCCTGGTCAGGAAGATGTCCCACAAACCTGCCATCTCTGGGAACCAGCAGGTGAGGAGAACTCCCCAGGGCCACTCAGGAAATCCCACTGAAATCCCTGTGCTCAGCACTCCTTGAGAGTGTTTCCTCTCTCGTCAGACAAGGGCACTTCAGCACCTTTGCTCAGTGTGTTTGCACAGGTTGTGCACCTGCAATTTGTTTATGGGGAAAAGAAACGTGCAGGTTTTTCCTACCTACCAGAGTGGAACTGTGTCCAGAACTCAGCTTCACAGAGGGAGAAACAGGGGCTGAGAACTGTTGGCATTTAGAGGTTTTGCCAAGCTCTGCAGTCAGCAAGAAACAAGAGACCTGAGCACAGAGCGTTGAAGAGGTGGGGGGGCTGGGGGTCCCTAAAAACGAGGGAATGACTTTGTGATGCTGCCACAGGCACGTGATGCAGAAAGGAAGCAGAATATGTGTATGTTTAGGAGCTCATTGATACTCAGAGATCATTTTCAGGCTCCCACATTTCTATTGTGTCCTAATTTGCCCAGCTGAGTTTTGGGTGCAATAATATTAATACAATGATAATCAATAATAAAAATCATAAACCTCGACTGATATCACAGAACTCTGGAGCAGTAGCCAAGGACTGTGTGCAGACATTATAGAATGCAATTGAGCACCTTTGTCTTATGGCTTTTTCTTTTCCCCTTCCTGAAAACAAGAGTGACAAAGAGGAGTTCACCTTCCCCCGAGACACCAGGAGTGATGGTGAGTAGGGGACTTTCTTTATGGCTGAAAAATAAAGCAGGGGAAGCCTACCAAAACTGTCTGGTCTTTGTAGGAGGATGTGGCTCATAAACTTTTCCATGTGGGTGATGTTTTAAGTTAAGGAAAATGAACTCTAGGGGAAGGAGCAGATACAGTTCCCGTGAGGGAGAGGCCACATGTCCCCCTGCCCTCTGAGAGGCTGCAGAGCAGTGGACTGGCCTCATTTCACACTCCCTGTCTCTAAAATGCCTTTGTTTCCTTTCACTCCAGGAAGAGTCACAGGCTCTCCCTCCCTCTGAGCGGTGTCACTGGGGTTTACTCTTTTTTCCTCCTATTTTTCCTCCCTGCCTTTAGAAACGGATAACCAGGAGGTTCCTCTCCCACCTCCCTACAGCGAGGCTGAGAGCCCAGAGGAGATCCTGTCCGAGGAGATCTGCAGGGTCCACGAAAACGGGCTCACCCTCCTTCACCTCATGGTGATCCAGGGCAACGTGGAGAAGGTGAAGTTCCTCCTGGGCTGCAAGGCCAACGTGAACAGCCAGGTGGGCTGTGGCTACACCCCGCTGATCATGGCCGTCCAGAAGAGGCTGCCCGAGATCTGCTCCGTCCTCGTCGAGCGCGGCGCCGACCCCAACGTGCCCGACGAGGACGGCTGGACCCCCCTGCACTTCGCCGCCCAGAACGGGGACGACAGGACCGTCCGGCTGCTGCTGGACCACCAGGCCCGCGTGGACGCCCAGGAGCGCGACGGGTGGACCCCCCTGCACCTGGCGGCGCAGAACAACTTCGAGAACGTGGCGCGGGTGCTGCTGTCCCGCCAGGCCGACCCCAACACCCAGGAGGCGGACGGGAAAACCGCCCTGCACGTGGCGGCCTGCTTCGGCCACGTGGGGCTGGTGAAGCTGCTGGCCAGCCAAGGGGCCGACCTGGAGAGGAAGCAGAAGAACCTCAGGACCCCCCTGCACGTGGCCGTGGAGAGGGGCAAGTTCAGGGTGGTGCACTACCTGCTGAAGAACGGCACGAGCGTGAACAGCCTGGACCAGAACCACTACAGCGCCCTGCACCTGGCCGCCGTCAGGGGCAAGCTGCTCATCTGCGAGAAGCTCATCAAGCACGGGGCCAACGTGGAGCTGAGGACGGACAAGGGCTGGACCCCCCTGCACTTGGCCTCCTTCAAAGGGCACGTGGAGATCATCCGGCTGCTGCGGCGCAGCCGCGCCCGGCTCAGCGCGCGGGGCAGCGCGGACTGGACCCCCCTGCACTTGGCCACCCGCTACGGCGACGAGCCCGTGGTGCGCGAGCTCCTCAGGGGCGGCGCGGACCCCAACGTGCCCGAGAGGTCGGGCTGGGCCCCCCTGCACTTCGCCGTCCTGAGGGGCTCCTTCCTCACCGTCATCAACCTGCTGGAGTGCGGGGCCGACGTCAACGCCAGGAACAAGGTGGGCTGGACGCCCCTGCACCTCGCCGTGCTCAAGGGCAACATGGCCATCGTCAAGACCCTGATCAAGGCTGGGGCGCTGCTGGACGTGGAGGACATGACTGGCTGCACGGCCCTGCAGCTGGCAGTCAGGCACCAGCGGGAAAACGTCATCACCCTGCTGCAGGGCCACGAGCCGGGGCTGAACAGGCCGGGCAGCAGGACTCTGGTGAACGATGCGAAGGTTTCGAGACCCAGACTCGTTCCGGGAAGGACAGATTTGTAAATTCATCAGCCCTGGCACTTATGACTCGAGTTTCCCAGTGTCAGGTGGTATTCCCTAAAGCACCTTGTGACTTTGAGCACCTGGTGACTACTTTCCTTTTTTTTTTTTTTAAATGGAAGTTTCTAAGCATGAACAGTAAAGAGCAAAAGAAAAATGAAGCTGCAGAAGGGAGCTGACAAGTTATTTTCCAGGGTCTGGCCAAGCTTGTAGAACACTTTGCCTTGGTGATGCTGGCTGTAGGCAATGCTTTCCTGTTTAATTCTTGCTGTGCAGGGATGGAAAGGGATATATGTAGTCCCTGTTCATATGGGCAATGCTGAAGCTGTGCACAGCATATATACATGTCTTCCACGGATTTTATTGCTTTTATTCCATGTTTTCCTACAGAGAAAATCGGTGTTACAATGACCTTGGCACATGTGGGAATTGAATCATGAGATTCTCACCTGCTGCTGGAAATAGGCACCAAGCATATGGTACAGCAATGTGTCAGGTTGATGACATCTCATTTTTGTAACAAGAATTAAATAAAGCAAGGAAGGAAAAAAAAAAAAACCAAACCCTAGTAGAGAGTATTTAAATGGATGCAGCACGGAGAGAAGGAATTCCAGAATAATGCCACTCCATCCCTCCAGGGCTCTGAGGGGACTGCACTGTTGCCAGTGCTTTCCTCACTCACCAGAGCAGGGCAGGGCAGGAGGGACAATCACACTCTTGTGCATGAAGCTGGTGCCCAAGGAACCGAGGGAAGGCTCCTAATTGAAGCCTAAATGCCAAGGCCCTGAGCGGCTCTCAGGAACCACCCTGGTGTCTCCCAGGGATCTGGGAGGGTTATCCAGCTCTCATTAGTCAGGGAAATCCTGCAGTGTGGTGACTGAAGCTGGTTGTTGTTGTTGTTGAGCTCGGTGAGATGATCCAGTCCCTGTTCTGCCTGCCCTGTGCCAGGAGGAGCTGACACTCAGGGTGGCTTCAGTGCCTCTATCATGCAGATTAGAGGGCAGTGGCTCCTGTCCTCTCCTCACAGGAGAGTGGAGAAGGCAAAATCTTTCTGATGTTTCAGTTATTTCCTCAGATTTTTTAGATAACTCAAAGTCTCAGCATAACTGAACTAAATCAAGGGAGTGGTTTCCCCTCTTTCGTTTTGTTTGGTTTTCTTTTATTTTGTTTGTTTGTTTGTTTGTTTGTTTGTTTGGCTTTCCTGGGGTTTCCTGCAGGAAATGAGCAGGATGGTAGGCCAGGGAATTTGGTGAAATGTGCCATTCAGGTTCTCGGAACTTGGGGAGCGCAGCACGTCTCGCTGGGATTCTCAGACCTTTCTGTGCAGCTCTTTCCCTCAACTTCAGCTCTATTGATTCAGCAAATGTCTCCACTGCTTAATATCGTTTGAAATATTTACACAGCAAAAAGAAATCCAAATTGCCACATAATTCATCAGCTCCTTTCTGTCCTCACTCCAACAGAAAGCCAAAACTCATGTGACACAGAACGTTCTCTAGAAGAGCTTAATTAAATTTATAATGAAAATAGCAGGGGGATTAAGAAGACACGAGGGAAATACATTCCTCTTGCAGAGCATTACAGAGGTGATAGAAGCAATTTGCAGAGAAAATTACCTGTTTGCTGCTCAGTTTCTATAGAAATTAAATGAGTCTTTACAAACTCTGGAAAAGTGCATTGCAGCCTCCGCTCTGTGACTGCGCAACCTGCAGCTCGTTATTCCTAAAATTAACTGCGGGTCTCCATCTCCCCCCACTCCCCTCCACCTCCAACCCCCCTTATCAGCACTTTATCAGTGCTGATAAATGCGCTGATGGTCCTATCCTGTTCTCACCCCAGGCAGCTCGTGCCAGGGGGGTTGTTGGCAGGGGGCAGTGGCAGGACAGGAATCCCTCACACAGCTCTTTTGCTCTTTTCTTGGGGGCACTGCTTGGATTCCACGGGGTGTTCTGAGCTGGGAGGGACCACGTCGAGTCCAGCCCTTTAAGTGAACTCAAAGAGATCAAAATTGCTGACCCTCACGGCACAAAAATGGTGTCTTGGAGGTGCCCAGAGCTGCCTGGGTGAGCAGTTCCTCACTTTTTGTCACTTTTTCCTGCTTTAGCTTTGGGGTGACCTAATTGCTCCTTCCAGGACCCAAAGGGAGCCTAAAGAAAGATGGAGAGAAACTATTTACCAGGGCCTAGGAGTGACAGGACACAGGGAATGGCTTCCCACTACCAGAGGGGCAGATGGGACATTGGGGAGGAATTCCTGGGCCCTGGCACAGGTTGGGCAGAGAAGCTGTGGCTGCCCCTGGATCTCTGGAAGTGTCCAAGGCCAGGCTGGAACAACCTGGGCTAGTGGGAGGTGCCCCTGCCCATGGCAGGGGGTGGAATGAGATGATCTTCAGGGTCCCTTCCAACCCAACCCATTCCATGATAAGGAATTTTTCACTTCAGAAATGTCCAACCTTACTGAGTGAGAGGGGACCTGTCGTGTGTCACACGGAGCAGCGACATTTCCGAGGTAAAATGAGATCAAAATGTGGGCATTTCAGGGCAAAGTTTGGCTCTTCTGGGGGGGAAACGCTCATGTTTGGAAATGAAATCCCTTTGCATCTGTGTTCTGCACTGCTCCTGCTTCCCAGTGACTGCAATTTGTTTGTTTGGCACCGCTGCAATTATGCAGGTATGTGATGAAATTAAAATTTAAGCAGTCCCACATTTTTAGAGGAAAACAGATCTGAATAAATACAGCTCGGGGTGGGGGGGAGTTTATTTTTAGCAGAAATGCTTGTTTTTTTTCCATAGCCCCTTAGGTGTGGAAAATCAAGATGTTTCTGACAGCAATGATGTGAATGTAGGAGGGAGTGATTTTAATGTAAGAAGAAATAGTGAATTCTATGTGTTTCTTTTTATTCCAAGGAGGTGGTTGTAGGCTCTGTACTGTATCAGACGTCAGTGTGAGACATTCCTGACTCCCTCCACAGCCTTTTCATGGCCTGACATAATTAATCCTGCTCTGGCTGCTCTCTTTCCAGACTATCCAGCACTTACCTGTGCTGCTCCCCAGCTTTAGGGAGTATTTTAATCCTCTTCCTTTGAAACAAAGCCACGTATCACTTCAAAAAGCAGCTCCCCACCCAGCACACGGGTGTGAGCTCAACTTCCATTGGAGTGATGGGAAAAAGGGGCCTGACTGGCTATCAAGGAGCACTTGCTGTTTTCTCCTACCAGGAATTTCACCCCCAGCAAGTTTAACATCCTTTGATTCTTTCATCAGCTGCTGCTTTCCCTTCTCGTGGCTCAGAGCACAGCAGGGAACCCTTCTCCTCTGCAATTTGCTGCTGGCCTCGTTCTCTTATTTTTGGGGAGAAAAAAACCCAAACCTCAAACAAAGCCATGGTGTTTGAAGCCTGACAGCATCTGCAGCCACAGCCCCAGGGAGGGCCGAGGGCAGCACCCTGGGGACAGTCTGGTGAGGGGATATCGTGGCCCCTGGAACACCTTGCTCTGATTTCCCCTGAGAAAACATCAGTTGGAGGTCACTTCCATGGGCAACAGCTAAAAATGAAACAAAACAAAACAAAAAAAAGAAACAAAAAAATATTATGGATATTAAGAGAGTTTAGCTGTGACAGAACTGAAGTTTGGGACATATCTGGACTCATTCCATGGCACTTTTACTGCTCTTCAGCACAGGCTTATTTCTTAACAAGGCAGAGGGGTGTTCTTATCACCGTGAAAATTTTATTGCTATTCTTTGGACAAACTTTAATGTCTGCTCCAAGCAGGGGAAAAAAGAACCTTAGAAGGAGTTCAGGGAATCAATTTTCTCATTTTGGAAAAGACTCCAGTTTGCCAAAAGGTTTTACTCAGACTGACCTGCCTTTATTTTGCTTAACTAGCTGTCTAACACCCAGTGTGATTCCCCCCAGGAGAGCTGAGGAGGTCTATTTGCTGCCCAATTTGCTGCTCCTGTTGGCTGAGCCACAGTTGTGTTTTGCTCGTGGCTCATCCCTGGACACTCCAGGGAGGGCAGGAAAATGTCACAGAACGTGAACCCCCTCAGACACGTCCAGAAAGTAAGAGGGAGAAAATCAACAACAGCCACCAAGGGAGGAATAGAGAGATAAAAGCAGAGAAAAGGTGGAATTCAGCTAAAAACTGGAAAACTCCCCGTGTTTGTGGGAAGAGGGGGAAAATTCAAATCTACTTTATTACGCCTAAAGTTTAGACGTGGATTTGGGACTTTTGGAGTACATGCAGTCAGGACTGGGGGATGAGTCCTGCTGCAGAAAAACCCCAGCTTTTCTGCTCCTGAGTTAACCTGTCCAGGGTGCCTGTGCACCCCCCCAGCCCAATCCCACACAGCTCCTCCTCTGCAGGCACTAAATCCACTCTAACATCCCCTTTAACAGCGGGATGAGCCCCCTGGAATGGGGGAGTCCTGTCCCACTGCTGGGACCACCTTGGTGGCACCACAGTGTTTGTGACTGAGGGTCACGAGCTCTTCCCCAAGGCTTTGGGCCTTCAGTGCCTGGTTCTTGCTTCACTCAGCCAGCCCATCCTTGGCTGGGTGAGGAGGAGCATCTCAATCAGCCTCCCCCACGGAAAACTTCCCTCTGCCCTTTTTAATTAGGAGGAAGGTGGAATTTACCCACATTTTCCCTGATACCTCTGAATCATGTCCCAGTTCCCAGCGCTGCACCCCCTGTAATCTTCCCCAGTGATTCTGGTTTCACCTTTGAAGTGATCTGGGGCTTGTTCATCACCAGAGCAATCAGACGTGTTTCTCACCAGACACGAGCTGAGTGTTCCCTGCGATGGGTGGGCTCAGGCACAAAAGGCATCTAAACAGGTTACAGGCACTACCTGAGCCCCAGCAAACCACCCTCTGCATAATCCCACCTCGTGGCAAGAGCCAGGTAGGCGTGTTGGTGTCAGCATAATGAAGGAACGTGCCCCGGAGCATCTGCCACCAGCTGAGAACACACACAAACCCAATTACTGCAGCCCAGCAAATTGCAAGCCACGATAATTCACTTAGAAATCTACATCCCCAGGTTAATTTGGTGTGACTTTTTGCATCGAGGCTCCAGCCTTCATGGATTGCAGGAGCCAACTCCCTGTTCTTCTGCTCCTG